TTCCTACCAAATCAGATTTTATTTTGACATTTATAAAGTATATATATAAAGGAGAACTGTGGATTTTTGTTTTGAAAATTTTGATCCGTAAATAGTAAAAACTACTATTTCCGGAGTAATTTTTTCTATTTCACAAAGCAAAAGTTGCCGTAAAAGTTCCAGACTATTTTAAAATTGAAATTGTGGTTGATACAATAAATTTTTTTCCGTATATTTATTTGATTATACCTATATAGTCAAGTAACCAATTATTTGAAGCAGATAAATTTTTTATTTTCTCTGTTCAGAAACACTTGGAGAAAATGTTTCCAAAAAAATATTGTACTGATAGCTGTTGTGAAATTGAAATTTAATCGGTAAAAATGATGAATTGCCGAAAAATTTCAGTTTTCACGTTTTGTTTGATTCTTTTATTTGTACTTTGATAACATATCATATAGCTTTTTTTTTGATAGCCGTTTATATATCAACTGTCAGTGTTTCAGATGTTTAATTATATATAGAGAGTCAATTAATACATTTTTGTAAAATAATTTTGTTGACAGTTTGATAGACAGGTATGAGAATAAAGAGGTGGTTTATATTTATCTGTCTCTAAAATTGAGTTTTGTGAGGGAGAATCCACTTTGTTATTTACAATCATAATGATATCCTGTATGATTTGTCTCTTCCTGTGTATGTCATGTGGTTCTCATTTTTATTTTATTTCCAATAAGACGTTATATCTCTTAAAGAAGTTAAGTATATATTTATTGTCATTTCCAAGAATGGACAAACGATATTGTAATACATTTTTTATCTTAATTCCCAGTCATATAGGTTTTGCAACTATATATATGAAACAAAAATAGGAAGTATTACAAGTTTAATATTTCAGGTATTAGCTTCTTATCTAAATATTTATTATCTAAATATTTTGATCGAAATTATTGATGTTCAATTTTAGAAAGTGGTTGTAGTAATATAATATGATTTACTGTAGGGGGTGGAGGGAGGTGTTAAATAACTCGAGGGTATAATATCATTTATAGATCAACTCCCTGTCATTTAACACGGGAGTAAAATCTAGTTCAGTTCGTGTTTCATGTAGAGTAGCATTCTTCTGTCTTTGTATTTGTGTAAGGGCCCCACATAAGCGGTTGAAGGTACGTGGGCTGCTGAAGCCCCGGGCCTGTTTGCCCACACGCTATTCACTTCATGTATCCACAGATTAACTTGACCAAGATCTGTTCATTCAGTGACAAAAAGGGCGACTTATATTATTTTTACATTCACAGGTATTAATTTTTAAATTATTTTCATATATTTTCGAGAATTTAAAAATAATTTCAAGTTTACTGTGGCGTATAATAATAGGTTTATAAGAAAATAATACTTGGCGATATGAATAATTATTATTTGTAAAGAAGTTAACGTTAGAAGCTGTTATTTAGTCGTTTAACAGTAAATCTGCTATTATTTTGGTGAATGCGTTTGAATTGATAATTTGCATAACAACAGCCTAAGCACGTGCTATTTGCATTTCCTCCTTGCCTTCTCGTTTGCTTCTTCTCACTTGATTCTACTATGGCTCATAACGTGTCTTCCCTTCTCTAAAGAGTAAACATATATATAACTAGACAGGAATCGATTTTGCTTTCATGGATGTATTGAAAGCACTTCCTTAATAATTTCATTGGTAATTAGCTTTAATAATTTTAACTAGTGATAATTTCTTTTAAATTTCGATTATTATTATTATATTTGATTCCCATTTGCGGATTTGATCTATAAATCCAATTTATAGGGGATTGTGAATATGCCTCAAGGATCCTCATCTTCTATTTCCATGTTTTATAAATTCTGAAATTGCGCACTTTCTCTCTCTTATAACTCTATATCTTTAATGTTTTTGCATTTATTTCTATATACATAACTGCGTATCATAACGGTCCAACTCTGTTCTGAATAAAATGTAATAAAATCAAAGTAGGTTTTTATATTTTTTTTTTTGTAGTTTATAGAAAATAGTTTACACTATAATTTGTTTTTTTTTTTTTTATCTCCTTGAAGGATAGATTGATCTCTAATCGAATGTCAAATAGGAAGGAAGTTGGCACGTAGTTACATTTCCAGTGAGAGACTAAACAAAATGAAATCCCGGACACAATAAAAGTTGAGAGCGTGTCCGCGCGCAGCCGGAAGCAACAGCCGTTGTTACTATTAACTATTTCGTTTCTTCTCACATCCGGTATTTTCAGGGGTGTGGGTGACACACTAGAGATCGCACATTTACGATCCAATTCAAAATAACGTATATGTGCATACAATGAGCATTGGCCTTTCATTCTTGTACAAATGTGTAATATATCTTTCCATACGTGTGGACTTGATAGATGGAAGGTGAGAGAGAAAGAAGGAAATAACGATTCACGAAAAAAAAAAACTCGTAACACGCAATAACTTGCCGGAAGTCAGATTCCGCTAAGTCTCATAAATATTCGTTTAGCTCTGTGTAATTCTTAACACATATTATATATTTAATCTTCTATTTTTAATTGTTAAATTAATATTCTCGAATTATAAAATTTTAAACATATTTCTTCTTTCCTTATTTTGATAGCATATTTTTTTTTAAGAAAAATATGTTTCCAGAAACGATATATGTCGGGCGAAGTGAAATACTTTTATTGAAAATCATTTTTAATAATGAAAAGAGGAAATTGGAAAACGGTCTTTCGAGTGAAATAATTCACTTGCGTTTATATGTACGCGCTCTTCACACCCTTCTTTATTCATTGGGTGAGAATTCCTCAGCTTATCCTATAAGGAAGCCCTTTCTTTCCCAAAGAACAGTTACCCCACGACACCAGATATTTTCTTCTCTTCCCTTGTACGGATTCGTTCATGTTATTCTTCCCCTATTCAAGAGTCTTTTGAATATAGTGTAACGAGCTTAAAATATTTTAATCGATTTATAACAAATTTGCATTTCTTTTTTTTACATATTTTATTGCTATTTCTGTTTTTTATTGATTGTATAATATATTTTTTAATTCGATAATATATAGTAAGGTCATGTGACTTGTGATTTTACTTGTAAATATTCTCCGCAGGTTTTCTCGCACACTAAATTTTAATTAGTAAAAATTTTTGACTTATTTTTTGCTTCTGAATTAGTAAAATTTAACTAATAGAAAAAAAAATTTGTACTATCATATTAGTTAAAATTTTTACTGATTTAGATTTAGAGAGCAAATTACTTAGGTTAAAATTTTGTGGAGGGTTCAAAAATAGTATACGGAACCATTGTTATGTGCTGTAGAGTACACAGAAAATTAAAAGGTATTAAAATAAGCTGCAACGCTTCTTATTTTAATCCAATTTTGCTTATTTTAATCCATTTTGGTATTAAAATAAGCAAAATTGGATTAAAATAAGAAGCGTTGCAGCTTATTTTAATGCCCTTTAATTTTCTGTGTACATAAAAAATTTTTTCAAAAATTTATTAGATTTTTGATCTCGAATGTGTAATTTTTCTATATACTACCTATTTCATTACCTATATAAAATCTGATGTAAAATCTTTTTTCTACTCTTTGATAAAAGTTACAAAAAAATCTAATATGAAATTCTATAGAAAATCTATTGTTAAATCTCATTAATTTTTTTTTCCTACATTGTTTTCACACAATATTATAATATATTCTGGCACATAACAGCAATTCATAATACCGACTATTTTTGAGTTCAACAAAATTTTAGCTCAATCAAGTATTTTCCGAGAAAACATAAGGAGAACATTTACACGTGAAATCAAAATTACATAATCTTAAGAGCAATGAATAAAAATGAAATATATAGTTTAGAACAAATTTTTTAAAAGAATTAATAGTTAATGATACCTAATATGACAACCATGAATAATTCTATTCTGTTTATAAATTAATGAAATGATGACAAATGAAAACTGTTGTTGAGAAAAAAATTGACCTTTGATTATTGTTCACCTTGTTCTGCTTTGACTTGTTTCGTCTGAAGAGAAAAAAAAGCTTCTATTCAAAGACTGAATGATAGCTGCGCCATAAAAGTCAATCATAATAAAAAAAAATTCTCTCTTTCTCTCCTACCCACGTATGATAATTTTCTATTTCCGTCCCCTCTTCCTCCTTCAAAATATGTATAATATGCCCAGTAGTATAAGTTCTCATTGCCTTGAATGGGAAATGTCGGCTCCATTGAAGTAGCAAATGATTAATAACTGCGTTTATGGTGTAAACTCTAGTGCAGGTTGCACTAAATAATATGTTATTTAGAGCAATTTATCGATTCGTAAAAGCAAAGTGAGAATAAACCTTTGTGTTTTTATTATGTCTTCAGCATAGTTTACATGGAAATTGTCTATATTGCTTTTCGCAAAACTTTGAAAAGTGTTATTTAGAATAAATTGCAACTGCTTATTGGATATATTCTATTTGTTTGGATTTATGATTTTTTTTTTTCATTTCCGTTATAAATATTATTAATTTTACAATTTGTGATGTTTGGAAAAAAAACGGTATGGAGACAAAAGTTTTGAAAACTTTGGAAAAAGAAATTTTTTAATTTTTGTACCCCAATCAAAAAAACAAATGTTTTCTTTTATATAAAAAATTTATTTTAAAAAATTGTTTTCTATAAATATCGAGATATTAAATTAAATTATAAAGATAATTTTAATTTTTTGAATACATTTGATAAATTAAAAATAATATTTAACGCGCATAGTTTAGTGTTGCTTCTTTGCTATTATATAGAAAGGTAGGCGTTTCTGATGTGGCTGATGTTCTCTTTGATATTGAAGAGTGAGAGAGAAAGAGATGCTTTCAAAATAAAGTGATGTAATTGCGAATGACCTCAAAGGCATAATAAAATTTTATTTTTCTATATTGGGAAAATTTTCATAAATAATTTATTATAATATAAATAATTAAATATGCAAAATTTGGAAAATAATAAAAGGATTGTTTGTTTACTTTCAGGTATATACGAGGGGCAAATTTTATTAACCGTGAGAGATGTAAGATCGCAATAGGAAATTGTACTATTTAAAAATGAAACTGTCGCAACACGTATTTCGGGAGTGTTCGTATTTTCTAAAATTATTTGTACTAATAAAAGTATTTTTTTGCCCACCTAGAACCCTTTATTTTCGGGAGTGTTCGTTCTTTTTAAAATCGCGTTCGTTTATAGTAAAAAAGTATTATTTTGTTCCCCCCCCACTAAATCCTTAGTTCCGGGAGTTTTTTATTTTTTAAAATCGCGAACGTTTATACAAAGTATTTTTTGCCCACCTGAAACCCTATTTTCGGGAGTGTTCGTTCTTTTTAAAATCGCGATCGTTAAAAAAGTATTTTTGTCCCAAAACCCTAATTTCGGGAGTGTTCGTATTTTTTGAAACTGCAATCGTTTTTAGTAATTTTAGTATTTTTTATCAGTTCAAATTTCAGTTTCGGGAGTGTTCGTATTTTTTTTTTTAAATCGCGAGTGTTTTTAGATACAATCAAATGGAAAGTAGAAGCTTCGCCGATATGGAGATCGAGTACACACGATGCCGCAGACTCTTACAAGGTAAGAAATATAAATTTATTAAATAAAATATATAAGAAAATCGTATATCAAAATTTTTATTCCTGCAATTAATTAAAAAATTTCAATAGTTGAAATAATTAAAGAAATGAAAAAAAAAACATCCAAATAGGAGTGCACTTTGTTGACAATTCGCGGTGACAATAAAATTTAAATATTTTTTAATTAAAGCTAATTAAATTTTGTCACTGCACATGCACGTCATTGAATTCAAAGCGTATACGTGCGTATAATCGTCTAACACATTAAAGTATGAACTTGTGACCCCTATGCTTGTCCTCAATTTTGAGACTTGACCCCACAACGAATTCTTACAAGCTATATTGTACTAAAACTAATGGTTTCATTAATTCCGTCGACCGTGCGTTGGTATCGCTTTCGTCCAATTAAAAGAGACACACCACTCGGTGCTTATTCGAGTGAAAGATAAAACGGCCAGGAAAATTAGCCCTTTTGCTGTGAGTAACAGACTCTAGAATTAAAAAAAAAAAGAAGATAAAAAAGTAAATATAAAAATTGCTACCCATCTGTTCTTGTTTCACTGACCTCAGTTTATAACGCGACCTCTCTAAAGAAACATGGATGAAGGACGGAATAGTAATTCCCATTTTTATACGTGAACATTCACCTGTCAACGCGTTTTATTTGCACAATTTTTTCATTAAAATTTAAATTACAATTTTAATTACGACCCTTTAGTTTTCTGTCTCTCGTTTTTATTTTTTTTTTTTTCAATGTTGTTTTTTTTAATCTAATTGGATTTATCATAATATAACGAAATCCAGAACACCCAATTTTATCTGCGGAAAAGAATTCTCTCGCGAGTTGAAGATTATGTCAAGTGCTATAGAGATTTGGGAAATGTGGTTAATGCTTCTCTGCGATCTCATTTTATATTTATAGCTATATGTTTACATTTACTTATCGTGTCCTTCTATTTTAGTCAATTTTATTTTCCTAAATATTCTTTGATTTAAATAATTTATTTAATAGAACTCCTTTTTTTTAAATATTCGAAACTAATATAAAAATTAATTTATTCAAATTTTATGGAGAATAATTCTACTCAATGTTCTATATGAGATAAAAAAATTAATATATTTTTTTTTTATTTAATTAAATTAGAAAAATTCTATATATATAGAAAATAAAAAAATATCGAAAAAAAAAATTAATTTTGATAATTTATGTTTTTGGAATATGTATACTTTTAATTCTTAGTTTAATTTTGAAATTTAATTAAGGGTAGAAGACTATTTTCACTTGGAACTCGTTTGAAACTTGAACCACCCCCTCCCAAGGAAACCTAATTGCTCGATTAAGGTAATTTCGTTGAATTTCAAGCAGAAGAGTTGTAGTTCTAACCAAAAGTCTTATGCTTCACCCCTCAAAGTTATATATATATATATTCTCTGAAAATGTTAAATTCTCTCGTGAGTCTCGACAGTCGTGAATAAAAGACTGATAAAGATCAAGAATTTCGACTGCTTGTATTTTCCATCGAGATAATCAAAAGCTTAAAAAGTCTGTAGCAAAAAATCGATAGGAAAGTTTATAACAAATTCACTAAAAAAAAAAAAACTAAGTTGAAAGAAATTTATTTTTTTTTTATTTCCAATAGTCGAAAAAAAGAACTTATTTTCCAATACATCGATTTTATATAAATGAAGAAAAGCGAGCAAAAATCTTTTATAATAAAAAGAAAGTGCTAAGCTAAGTTTCCTGTCAATTTTCAAAGGCGGGAAACTTTTTTTATATCATTGTTTCAATCTTTTCTTTCCGTGAGTAATTTGCATTTCAAGTTCAGTCTCATTTGCATTGTCGCAACATTCTTCTTTTTTTTATGTTAATAAAATTGTGTTTTTTTTTCGAATACTGATCAGTTTTTTCAGACGTTTATTATTTTGAAAAATTTGGTGAATTGAGAAATTTATTTTTATTGAAATTAATATTTAAAAAAAATTGATTATTTAAACAAAAGTAGTGAATAAGTTTGTTATGAAATTTTATTAAAAAAAATGAAATTGAATGTGTGAACTAATTCTCTTTAGTCGGGAGGGGAAAAAAAACCTTATTTTCCAATGGACCGAATTTCATATCGATAAAAGTCTATTCGAATTTTCTTCGTCGACGATTCTTACAAATAACGAAATTCTCCGTTTTTCTTCCTGTATATAGCTTTCATCTTCATTCTTTTCTTTTTTTTTCATGCGAAAAAAGAAGAGTTTCCTGTTCCAGCAGGTATAAATCCATGCTCGTGCTAATCGGATTATTCATAATAAAAATGAGTCTACTTTTCTTTAGTGGAAATTTATTCGCTTTTTTTCTTATATCTCTTTAGTTTTAATGCAAGTGTAAATTTTTTATAGATGAAATAGTTGAGAAACTTTTATATATTCTCATTTAGTTTTACGAGTCTTTGGATCAACAACCCTTATCAAATTTTCAATAATTTGATTAAACTCCCCAGAGTTTATAAATATTTTATCTTTAGGTATTCTACCCACATGTATATTTACTGTTTGTTTAGTATATGTGTAGTAAATTCACCGAAAAGGGACCAGAGGGGTGCGAGAATCAATATTTCCACCTGGATTAAATATCCCTTTGTTTCGGATCATTTACTACGTCAAGAAATAGACGCTTGATTCCTAACTTTTTCTTTATTCTTTATACTTGAAATATTTAATATTAATTTTCTATATAATTTTAAAACAGTTTTTGGATTTTGAAGTTATTTGGAAATAAAAATTTTATGTGGTTATATTAATTATTTATTAGAAATTAGGTTTTCTAAAAATTCAAATTTTCGTTTAATTTATTGGTGATTTTGATTTCATAACTTAATGTCAGTAGAGAGAAATAGTTTTTGTTAAATAACTTTTTCTTGGAAGATTGATATAAATGGAGAGCAAATGTTTGAGTTGTTAATCTGTAGGGTTAATAATACGAGTTCCATTTAACCCGATGTCAATTTAAAACTGTCAATAAACGCAACGAAAGTGATGATTCAACCTAAACAATCGACATTTATAGAGGCTGCATTTATTAATCTTGTCAGTAAAAAAGAATTTATTTAATTACTTAAAGTATATATTTTCAGTTTAATATTAAAATGAATTTAAAAATCTCAATATTAACATTGCATTTTAACAAGTTTTTGAAATTTTATTTTTAAAAAATCAAAGACAATCAAAAATAAAATGTTTGTAAATTAAAATAAGTCTGAATAAGATTTTTTTGAGGTAAAGTTCATTGGTTTAGTTTTAAAATGTCTCGGGGTTTTTTTTTTTTTTTTTTTTTTTATCTGTGTGGCGTAATTACTAAAGACATTAGTGTCAAAATTCTTAAAATTCTCCCTGCGGTAAAAATGTCTGTTTTTTTTTCAAAATGGAAATTAAAAAGTCACACCGCAGACATTTGTGCAGTAATGTTTGAAAAAAAAATGCACTACACTTTTAGAACTTGGAAGTCAAAGACAAAGGGCAGGACACTCGCTAGAAGGTGCTGTTTAATCTTACGTTTTGGCTTGAGTGTCAGGGTCTCAAGTTTTAAATATATCCCAAAAGGGATGCTGCTGTCAGCTGCACCCACTAACCATTCCACCGAAATAGCAAAACCCGTCTTGATATTTTCGGAGGTCATAAAGGCGATTAACCGTCAAAATAAAATTAATCCACTGCAGTGAAAATATTTGCACTGAACTTGCATATTATATAAATATAGTATACTCTGTGGTAGAATGAGATATTTTTAGAAGAAAATTTTAATTTTAATTTAAAAAATATTAATTCCCATGGGGAAATATTTTTTATTTTACTATTTAATTGAGATTTCTTTCTTTTATTACTGATCAAAATGTTAGATTTGAAATTTGCAATCATAAAATTCTTGGTGAAAAAATAGTAAAGTTTCTCTTCGCACATATCGTATATGATTCCCTGGTAAAAGAAAATCATTTTTTTATTTTACGGAGTTCATAAAATTTTTTTTGTAGTGTGGAGATTGGGAAAAATGCGCAAATAGTTTATCGTCACGTCTAGACGGATAAATAAAAAGAGTTCTTTCAAATGCTTAGGTTATTTTTTTTTATCAAACCCCAGTTTGAATTTTTATCTACTTTTTTTGTTGAATATTTTAAATACATATAAATTAAAAATTTAATTTAAATTTAAAAATCCTAAATTTTAATTTAAAAATTATTTTAAAGATTTTTTTGTTTTTTTAGTAGAAAAATATTAAAAATTAGAAGAGGAGTACAAATTGGAAAATTATTTATTATTGCGGTATATATGAGTCTGTAAAGTTTGTTCCCATCAATTAAATCCCCGCGCGGTTATTTACAGTTTAAAATGTTCCTTGAGTGTTTTTTAAGTGCAAATATATCGTTTTGAGTAACTGCATTTTATCTTTGCTATATTTGTCAAAGACTTAAAGTTAGATGGCTGTGTATATCTTCCTTGGTCGTTGTATAAATATTCGTGGTAATCTGCAGAGAGATATAGGTTTGACTAGGGGTATAGGCAAATTACTTCTCAAATGTGTTAAAATCAAACTTTTGAAAGGAATATTGATTAAAAAATTTATTTTCGAACGAAATAGAATTTTTTTTCTATTTTTTTTTTTTGTAATTAAAATTTAGTTTTAATTTTAATTCTCTTTCTTTCCCATAGTAGTAGGCAAATTTAATTTTCTTATGAATTTTTTTCCTTTATACCCCAAGAGGTAAATTTTCTGCTGGATTGAATTTAATCAAAACAAAAGGGACTGTTCTTGATATTGTAATTTTCTAATTGAATTTAAATGAGAAAAGAGAGAGAGAGAGTGTTATAATTTTTCGCAATGCGCTTCTTTTGTCGCTTCTTTGATACCTTCGTTTTTATATCTTTATATTTTTTTCCGGCAGTATTATTTGCTCTTTTTGTCGATTCTTTGCGCGACGTTGGTGGGCCACGTTCATTCAATAACGGCAGCTTTATCTC